TCCTATGTTCTCTCAATTCTACACCTCCAGGTGAACATAAGATGTGGCCAGCCAAAACCATCCCAAACCACCCGTATCCTCATTGCTTTTTACTTGCAAAGGCTTCGTTCAAAAAAGAGTTGAGTGTTTTCAAGCATGAATCCCGCTGGGTCTACTGGGAGCGTCACCTTACGGGTCATTCTGTCCATTCGAGCGGCCTTTGATTGCAACAAGACGGCTGATTGGGGGTCTTCAAAGACGTTATTCACTTGCTCAAGCTTTGGACATGGGGAAGCGACGGAAGCGATGTATGCAGAAAAGAGGGGTGCAGTCACGCCTTCAATAGCTTTATGTGCAACGCCATTTGAACACGCAAGCTCACTGAAACCTGCCAGCCCTTGTAGAATCAACTTTAGTATCAGACACCTGCCACGTTTTTCCCTGCAAAAGGAAGGACAACAGTGCCATCGACCAGTCGTGAGAGGCGATCTGAGCAGGTATGGAAAACAAGCTCGGCGCCTGTTCTTGGACTGCATGAAACATGGCGCTGCACGCTGGTGCTCAATTTGAGAAAGAGCTGCCCGCAACTGTATTCTCGATACAAAACACTCTGCTAGGATAGCTTCCTCGCACATACTATAGGCGATCCATGTGAGAGCCAGGAACGGTCTTGAAAAGCAGCTGCTTGACAGCTCCCCTCTCCTGATCAGAGCCAATGATAGGTTTCTGTTTCGCTGGAACGAAAGCCGAAATTCTACTTTCAAGGCCTTTAAGCCCTCCTTCTTGGAGGGTTCAGAGCAAGTGTCAGTGTGCCTTGCAGCAACTGCATGAACGATTCGCCTGTGTAACTTGCCACTGCGCCCGCAATGTACTGAGATGAATCTACCCACTGGAGCTGTCATGTTTAAGCAGAGTATCTAGCTTTTGCACAAAGACCCAATGGTTGGATCGTAGACCGTAGAGGTGTTGCCTGTGGGCCGCAAAAGCAAGCTTCAACAAGCTTTTGATGTCGAGCAATGGTGCTGGATGCCGAGGTTTCATGCAAGGGCTAAATGTGACAGATGTCGCTTAACTGCAAAGCTGCACATTGAGCTAGAGGCAGAATTGGAGCCGCAGCCTACATCCATAGCATAGGAAGAAGACTGCAAAATAGAAAGATTTGCGAGATCAGAGATCCGAGAGATCCTATGTTCTCTCAATCCTACACCTCCAGGTGAACATAAGATGTGGGCCAAAACCATCCCAAACCACCCGTATCCTCGTTGCTTTTTACTTGCAAAGGCTTCGTTCAAAAAAGAGTTGAGTGTTTTCAAGAATGAATTCCGCTGGGTCGGAGCATTAGGTGCTGCCTTTGGAAAGTGCCCTAGCAACCGATGGGACTTCACAATGATCCTTGATGCTAGCTGCGTTGCTGGCAATCTGAAAAGCCTCTTCAGATGTGGTTGATCGAGTGCAACACGTGTTGCTCTTTACAATCAACTCGATGTGAAACAGAGCAACACCTGCAGGTGGTGACTTCGATTTGTCCAGAGCTTCACCTGTGTAGCGATCACTGTCTTATTACCCGCCCTCACTGCGCGCCGCCGCCATTTGGGAGGTCACACGGTCGTCACTTGGCGTCACGGTCGACTGTCACAGCAAACTGCGTTAAGACAAATTCAGCCAGCCGACACTTTTTTGGGGTGATAGCTAACTTTACTCTCTCATCTCCCAAACCACAGGCGCAACATACTATCTTTGTAGTTGTGTGGGCACACTTGAGGCAAATGGTTTATGTGTTCCAAGTGTGCAGTTGTTAGCCGCAGGTATTCGAGAACTGCCGGAGCAAAAGTTTGGTACCAGCGGTTGCGCCTGCGCGTTGATTGCCTCAAAATGACGATTAAGGCAACAACAAAGCCTAGAATCGGCTGCGTTCAGAATTATTCGACACTGTTTCCCAGGAAGGAGCTGCAGAAAGTTACATTATGTTGCCCACATAGCTCTCTGTCCTGTAGAGCCCCTCGATGTGTTGACTGATGCTTAGACCGTGGCGATTCAGAACTCTAGGAAGTTCAGATGAACTTCGTGAACTCGAAACTGATGGGTAGACATCACTGGAGCTGAGTTGGGCATGCGGCCTCATGCGGCATGGGTCAAAAGACCCCAGAAACAATGGTCAGTTGACACACTTGGTATTATAGAGATGTATAAAATGCGTTTGGTTTGTTTTGCTTCGCGGTCCATCGGCGAGAAGGTCGGCCAGCGCAGGACCCTAAGGTCAAGTATCGGCGTATCTTGAAAGGGCAGTAGATTAGATGTCGAATTGTGTAGGGAGGTGATTTCGAAAGTTGGAAAGAATGCAAGGACCTGGCTGTCCGACCGTGGGATCAGACCGCAGCTGCTACAGATCCTCCTTTTAAAAGTCATCATTTTGCATCAGTTGGCATCAAGGGCCGGTTAGAATGTGAGCGAAGAGAGCAAAGGAACTGCAATCCATATTCAAGGGAGCAGATTTTGCCGGCGACAGTTTTGGTCGTTTCTTTGGCGTTGAGAGTTTGGGTTCTTGCATTTGGCATCCTGCCCAACGCTGCCGTGGCAAAGTTTCGCTCGTCAATCTAGTGTTGCCAAGTAGCTGCCCGTGACAGCTTGGCTAAGTGCTGCCCGTCCGAAGACTAACGGTTCCGCTTGGTTGAGATTCTCATTTGTCCGTGCATCCAAAGGGTTGAGGAGGGTGTCATTACTCGAGCAGACTTAGAGGCGTTGGTGCCCATGCTTCAAACAGAGTTGGCCGCGCATCACCAGTTGTGCAAGGTTTCGAACAACCGAACAGACCTGTAGAGAGTTCTTCGCGAGAAACAGCTGTGGCATTCTATTGAAGTTCAAGACAATTCATGGAAGACACCACGGAGAATGTTGTTAAACCAAGATTTTCTACCAAACTAAGGCACTTGCGACACGACTTTGCGTCCCTTCATTTTCTCGACCGAGCGAGCGAGTCCAGGAAGGTCACGCAAAGGAAGCAGTCAGCTTTGCGCTTCCGTTCGCAAACAACCTCAGCTTGGCCCAATTCATTTTGAAAAGGAAAAGGGGCATTTTCATTCTCCAAAGCAACTTCATGGTCCAATGCCATGGCTTTCTGCCAGTCCTCATGCATTTCGTGTGTGCAAGGCAGCCGACGCTGCAGCCTACAACGCAGGGTGCAAGCCATTGTCTCAAACCGAAAGCATGTCACCGCATTCGTGCACGCTCGGCCCGGCATTCCTATTTGCGCCGCAAATCAGAGCTGACAACCATGCATTTCCCACATGATTCGCTCGAAAACCCTCTCTAGAGAAGTCAAGTACCTTTCAACCCTTCTGCAGTTGAGGCCTCTTGTACCGTGGAGAGATCAGGCAAGACTGTCCCTGTGGCTTTCAGCTGGTCAATTTGCTGGACTGAAACCTTTGCAGATTTGTGTCTTTGCAAACAGACTTTTCAACTGTCTTCGAAGGGCCACCTAGCTGGCGGTTCAATAGTTTCCTCTCTTCAGTTTATCGGCTGAGCAGCTTGAGTCCAGCTGGCATGGAAGGATGATGTCCAAACGTGCAACGTGCGCAGGAACCATGATTGAGCAATACCAATTGAACATCGGGAGGCTGTAAAAGTGAGAACAGCATGCGCACTTGCCAAGAGTGAACTAAATCCACGCAGCTCAACTCTATGCAGCTTCCATGTTTTCTCTTTGTAGTAGAAAACACTCAGGCTGTAGAAACACAAAGAAATCCTGAACACATGAATTAGGTCTCCACTGCTATCCACTAGGCCTGTTTTCTGAATGATCGTCCTGTCCAACGTGTTTTTCGTCTTCAAAAAGACTGTTGGTCTAAAGAGTAAGACTGAGCAGGAAGACGGTTGAGCAGTCGGGGCTTTTGAGCTTTTGGGGGCAGTTGACCGGTCGATCGGTTTGGCAGGGACCTCTACCATCATAGGACCTCTGATGTCCTTTTTACGCCAAGCGCCCGGTGACCTTGTATTGAATCAGGTTTGAACCATGAGAGGAGGTGGCTACCATGCAAGTGCATGGCAATTGGGCGAGCTGATTGGTTTGGCAGCTGTAAAGTGTTTGCGTTTCAGCTCGGCATGCTTGTCCTATTTTGACCTATTTGGAGCTTCTAGCTTGTTGACCATCGGGTGAGACCATCGTTTGGTGTCCCTACAGGCCCTAGCGTCCGGACTACGGTGGATGCACCTCTCAGACCTTGACCCGGCAGGACCGGTGCTTCGGTGCCGTGGGACCGGTGCCGTAGGGGTGGTCGTTTCCGTGCCGTGCTGGGTGGGTAAGTCGCGCGATGTGCTTCATCCGATCCGGGCATCGAGGATCCCAGATTGACCCTCGAGAGATAAGTCCATGGGCGATCTGGAGCCAGACAATGGCTACTTAGCATACCCGAGGCATCCATAGCTGAGTATTAGCTGCTGCGTAGGTGACCAGGCGCCTAAGAGGAGCGGCGGGAGTTGAACTGTGTCTCTTCAGAACACAACGTTCGTTGCCCAACGGCGGGATTGCACTTGATCTTGAGCAAATCGACAGCGACGACCCACTCTCCGACGTGGGGCACGTGGTTGCGACCCCGCGTTGCGGCAGCTACCCAAAGCTAATCCAATGCTGCCACTTTGGGCTCACAAGTGGCCGCTAAGTGGTAGAGCTTGTGCTGAAGATGTCGCAGCGTGTGTTTTTGCAAGTTTGCTGTGTCGTCGAGCTGCTTTAAGATCTTCAAGCTGCATGCCAGTTTCCATCCAAATGGAACTGATATCAAATCGAGGTTCCAGTTGTCTTTTTGTCCCCAAGTCTGCAAGGATGCAAGAACCGATCACAGCATTATCACAGCCAAGGTCCGGCTTTGCTCATTGACGAAACGGAACAGCTTTCATGCAACAGAGCTGTTTCGAAGTTGTTGTGGCAGACATCTTACATCAGCTTCTCATCGTGCAGGCGACATGAACGAAGATGCCCCTGTAGCTGCCAGCGGGCGACAGACCCTTCGTTTTCTTCGCTGCCATCGGCTCACAGTATGTGTCAGTTCCACTGAGCTAGCGCTTTCAATTCGCAAACCAAAGCATAGAGCCAACAAGGGGCCAAACCTGTTTCCACGGCTGTCGCTTCGTTTCGTACCTGTAGACCGGGTCGCCGAAACTTCTCGTTGGTCTCTGCGCCCAGTCCAAGTGTTCCTGTCTTAAATATAACCGTTCCTGTCTTGCCCATTTTCCATCTCATCACTCACAACACTTACCTTGTCAGAGGAACTTGACATTTGCAGTAGTGAAAATCTCGAACTTGTTGCGAAGAAGCTACTCGTGAAGAGCCATTGCTCTTGAGCCACTGCTCTTTGCATATGTGCAGCAGGTGTCATTTCCAGTTGTGTGACCAAGCATTCGCGTGGTGCATGGTTCAATCTGATGCAAGCTTACGTGGCTCATACCAAGTCTGTCACTCCATTGATGAACTTGTTCTGGAGGTTGTAATTCTACCGACTTTGAATCTTTGTCAAATATTGATGAAGTGGATGAAGCTGATGAAGTTTGTCAAGGGATAGATGCACATGATCTTACTTAGGTTGACATGCCTTCCGTTTCGACAAATCTCCGTAGGCAACGAACAAGAGGGACAATGAGCACCACAATCCTTCCATGAGAGGCAGTTGTCCAATTGTTTTCGCGCAACATATGTTTCCACGCGCAGAGCGGCAACGTCCCGCTTAAGAGAGGCTCAGGAAAGGCAACGCAGGTGTCCCTGAGTAAAGTCAATTTCACTTTTGTGGCTCATAGCTTGGCGACCATTTGGTCAAAGTCTTCTTGGTGGGGTCTTATTTACGAGTTGAGCGAAGCACGAACTGCACTTGCCTTTTGTGCTCGGCCGATTTGTTCCTTCTACACGTTTTGTTCCTTCTTACAAGCTTCTGTGAACCTGCCAGCACCCTTGTGGATCAATATCCATCAGAAACAAAGAGCGGGGAACAATCAAACAGTAGAAAAGGAGAGGGAGACACCGAGTTCGACAGGACTTGCATGAGCACCACTGAGCAACACAATTCACAGCACTGAGTTTTGTGAGTGGTGGCGGAGGTTAGTTGCATTACTCATGGTCGAAACTTGGCTGAAACCTGACAAAGCCGTAAGCTTGTACGCTATGTCATGGCACGAAAGCTGCTGGACACTGGTGCCAGCAGTCCACTGGCTAGCCATTTTGGTCTGCTCTCCCTTCCGAGTTTTTGGCGCTGTGCCACCAGATTCCAGAAAGTGTCTGAAGCTTTACAGCTAAGGAAGGAAGGAAGCTACTAGTAGCTCCTGGCATCGCTACTAGCAGCAATGTTCGCTACTAGGGGCTCCTGGCCTTACTACTAGGAGCAAGGACGCGCTCCTGGAAGCGCTAGTGCAAACGGGGCTTTCCAGGAGCGAAGGGCTGCGTGACTGAAACAGTGCCCCAAGATGCCCCAAGTGGATTGAGTCTTTTGACTTGCCAAAGGAGGAGATCGGTTGCTTTCAGGGGTGAAGCATGGTGAAGCCGAACTGTGAAGGGGTGAAGCGTGTTGCACGGTGCGTTGCACAGCACGGTGTGTCGCACTGTGCCGGATCAGTGCGTATACGACAAAAGTGTGTCGCTGTGCGGTTGATTGTGCGCACAGCTGCGAGCAGTACAGCAGACTTCTAGTTTCTAGTCACAACCAGGTGACTCATGGTGTTTATGCTGATCACACACCCGTCAGACAGATGAGGTTGTTGCAAAGACCGATAGGTCTCTGGTCACAGAAACCACGAATCTCGCCCTGACAGCTCCTATGCTCATCTTCTGGGGGCGAAAAGCACCAAGGAACCCCAGATCTCGTCGTCGCAAAATACTCAGCGAGGTCACGAAGCCATAAGACAGGATCCACTGAGGTGTGCAGTCCATCCCTGTCGGCATTCGGTTCCCTCAAACAAGGAGTGCTGCAATCGACCTCCACATCCAGAAGTTCCTTTACGAGAGGCACTTCTAAGAGGCCCAATCGGCCGTGCAGCGCAGAGGATTGCACAAGCTGGCGCAGCGGCTGCAGCGAATTGAGGGGCAACCTATCGGTCTTCCGACACGCATCCTGTCTCATGACCTCTTCACGTGGTGAGGCCTTAGTTGCGCCATATCGCTCAATGCTCTTTTTGAGCTTCTTCCATTCCGCTAACAGCTCTTGTCTTTTAGAAGCCACCTGAACATGCAAGGGTTAGAGTGCTTTAAGATCCTCCAAGTTGTGTTTCTCGTGGTGCCACAATGTCATCCAAAGCTGCGATAGAGATGATAGAGTGAGCAGCCTTGGCCTTGTCAACCCCATTCCAAGAAGCGAGCGACTCGGGTCAGCATTCCTCTTGGCCACATGAGGAAATGTGCAAGTCATCCACTGAAGACCAGCCAGATCCCAAGTCAGCACTGTTCATCGCACGAAAGCCACCGCAGCGAAAGTGCCCAAAGGCAAGCCATCGCAGCCATCAGCGCTTTGTCAATGGCTTGCCCCAATCCGGGAAGTGTGATCCGGTACACAACCCACGACAATGCCTGAGCTGTCATTCCTACGAAAGCTCAATGGGTTTGTACCTCAACTCCACCTCAGAGATGCAAACACTCAAGGTGATCGTTTTATGTCGTTTTGAAGTCTTGACGTGTTTCTGCAAATGTGTGGAGTATGCGCAACGCGCAAGCACGTGGACGCTGCATGTGCCAATGGGCAAAGTAAGTTGAGTCTTCGAGCGTCTGCCCCTCTTGGACCTGATGATCATGAGCTAAGCCGCTATATAAGCCGAAAGCAAAGAGAGGGAGGGACGGTAGAGAAGCACGTCTTAGCCAAGATGCCTTGTGGAGTGTGGAGGTTCAAACGCGGAAGTCTCTAATCACCATAAGCATATCTAAGTTGCGGAAAAGCTTGTCTCGTGCGTGTGCGTGTGTGATACGAATCCCAGATGGGCTTGTGATTTGAGGGGAATCCATGCAGTCAAGGTTTTCGCGAGTGAATCAAGTTGCATCAAACCCGGAGGAAGGGTTTGCTGACACACTCTTGTCAAACTTCCGATCAGCTGGTTGCGCCTCATGTTGCACCTCAAAGACGATCTTGTTCCTGCGATGCTCAGCTAGCAGCTTAGAAGAAGCGAGTTTGGATCTACCGCAGTGCTCCAAAGCTGAGTGCTCGCTTGGCTCTTGCTTCAACAGAGCTGCCCTCTTTCAGGCCTGACAGGGCTGAAAGGCAAAGGACATCGTACATCATCATAGCTTCTACTAGTTTGAAGAAAAAACAGAGTTTCTCCAGACTTGTGATTGAGTTGAAAAAACACATGAAGAGATGGTGTGAATGCCCATGAGCCATGTGTGGGACGTTGCATGATGATCCGCTTGGCGTCCAGTCGCCGACAGAAGACTGCTCGTCGTTGCTCGGCGTGGGGAACCTTCGCTTCGAGGTGATTCGGCCAAGGCTGTGACTACGCCAGCAGGCAACACTGTGATCAGGCTCGCTTTGACAAGCGCTGCACTTTGAGAACGCCAGCCTTCGTCTCTTTGGGGCCAGCTGGGCAAGGGTGCGACGTGTAACGATTCAGCAACGAGAGCAACATGCACACGACAAGGGGTCTTCCCTTCTTCCTCTCCGATTCCTCTCTGAGTTTCAGCCTTCAGCGCGAGCCTTCGAGCGAGAGCACTCAAGCGAAACCTGATTGACCAGTCTGATGGAAATTTTTTGAACGCGAAGAAATCATCTCTGAGTGGGGAATTCCCACCAGTGGCAAATGGCACGGCTGTGGAAAAGGTGGCACAGGCGGCGCAATGTGAATTGAGTTGTTACGAAAGCCAGCCGATAGGCTGGGCTTGAGCTGTTAGAGGGGGGGTGTGGAGGGGGGGAGGGCGCGAAAAGGCACCATTTGAGAGGGTGAACCCGGAGCTTGGTGGGGGAGAGCGCTCCAAAGCGAGGGTCAGAAAAGTAGTGAAAATGGGGTCTGGTGATGCGAGTGATGCAATGGACGCCAAGTAGTGCATCATTAGCATCATGAAGGGGTCTGGAGACAATTTTTCTAGTCCTGAGCAGGGCATAGGCACTGTGTAGCTTTGATCATACCAAGAAGAACCAAGCAACAAAGAGTGAACGCTCTTGGAGTGAACGATGTGAGCATGTCCAGTTGGGCAAGGTAGAGGCTTGGGGATAAGAGCGCCGCAAGAGGAGAAGCAAGAAGCTGCAAGCGTTCAACACTTCATGCTGTGCTCCGATCTTGATCTCAGTCGCAGTGATACCAGCTCCACGAAGCTACAAGCTTTCAACTATAGGTGCTCTGCTATTTTTCCTCCCGGCCCTGCTCTCTATAGGGCTTCGCATTGATGCACGATACCCGATACATATTTCAACACAACCACAAAAACCATTTCGGGCATCATTCTCCTGGTGTTCACTGACGCTTATTTTTGCACGGATTCTCAAATCGAACACCAACAAGGGACGCTCCAGAAGGCGCCGCGCCAAGCAAATCAAGAATACTGAAAACATTCAACACTTCATGCTGTGCTCCGATCTTCATCTACGTCGCAGTGATACCAGCTCCACGAAAACTACAGCCATTCAAGAATGAGTGCTCTCTCTTTTTCTCCCAGCCCTGCTCTTTATAGGGCTTCGCATTGATGCACGATGCCCGAAACACATTTCAAAACAACCAAAAACCACCTTTCGGGCATCCTTCTCCTGGTCTTCACTGACGTTTATTTCTACACGGATTCTCAAGTAGACCACCAAACAGGGACGCTCCAGAGAGCACCGCGCCAGGAAACCTAAAACATTCAACGCTTCATGCTGTGCTCCGATCTTGATCTACTCCACGTTGATACAAGCTCCATGAAAGCTACAGGCATTCAACAATAAGTGTTCCGCTATTTTTTCCTCCCAGTCTTGCGCTACCATATTGGCTTCGTCCTCTCCTTTCTCAGGTTTGACTTCCGCTTGGGAAAGTTGACGAGCTGAGATTCAATTCGTGACATGACGGTGAAGCAATCATTCTGCATCTTGACGGATCCCATGCTCTTCTCGTAGTCATTCTGCATCAAACTCAGAGCAACTGTTGTCAGATCACAGCAGAAGTGGTGCTGCCTTAATCATCCAGGTTTCTGCATAAGCAATTGAGGCCAGCCCTACTACCGATATCCTTTTATGAGGCAAGACAATCATCCAAACCACAAACAGAGAATACGGGCCAACTCTACTGAGTTTTGGCTGTCGGCAGGCGCATAAACTTATCGTCCACCACTCGTATGTTGCACACTGTGAATGCATGCTGTACTGTTACGTAATCAAATGTTCAGGGTCCATCAGGGTCCATGGTATCCCTCCCTCAGTTAAAAGAAACCTTATGGTGCTCCATGTCCTGATGGTGCATGCATCATCCGATGAGGACCTCCTCATGAGCTTTACGTGTTTCGATGTTGATTTGCAGTATCAAGATTGCAGGAATCCTCTTCGAAAAGGTCACCGGGGCGACCATCGTTGCCGTGAAAAGTCTTGCGTTCGGAATTCGTCCTTCACGATTGGCGTAGCACCGTAGTTGGCACTTGCCAAGAAGGCTTGTTAAAAGGATGTTTCCATGCAACGCGCCAGTCCATCGAGTGCCTTGATGTGGAGCTTGACTCTCCCACCCAATCTAATTGACACTTTTCTGGTCAACAGTTCATTTAAGTGCCATGACACAGTCACAATATGTCACAATATGTCGCAATAACGTATACTGAGCCACTCACTACGCCTAAGTGAGTCCATCGCCAATGGAGGTCCAGGAACAAAGAGATCTCAAACTGTTCATGGACATGCTGTCAGGATTGCTTATCAGATGGACCTTACCAATCATGCCTGATTTATACAACATAGATACCAAAAGGACTCAATATACCCAATCATCCCGTTTGGCTGCTGCCATGAAATGCTCAAGTTTGTAAGTAGTCAATACCAATATCATGACATCAACATTAGCTCTACAGTTGTGCATGGCCGCGCAGAGAAGAACAGGATTGCACGATGATACTTGGAAATCAGTTTGGCCGTAAAGTCTCCAGTGTTTCTGCGGACGAGCCAAATTGAGTTGTCATGACTCGTTTGCAGCTGCCACTTGGACCGTCCGCATCTTAGACAAAAGGGCTGTTATCTTGTATTTATTATTATGTATGTATAACTTACAGGAGTTTACCTTGATGAAATGTTTTGGTGAATGTGTAAACTTTTGTGCCATCCTTTGCGCAGTCACTTCAAATTTGGTCGCGCTTTGGTCTACGTTTGAATTCATTTTCTGAATTGTTGATTTGATTGTGTGATGTGTTTTAGCACCCCTTCTGCGCTTGTTCCTTGTTCGATTTGCGAGTGAAGGACGCCACGATGATTTAGTCTTCTGGAGTGCAAGAAACTACGGCTGATACCAAATGAACATAATCCAAAGAATATGCCCCCAATGCGGCCAGATGCGCAGCAATTTTCATCTCACTCCGCAGCGAGGCGGACTGCATCGACTCCGTGGCGGAGTGCGCCTCATTTGGATGAGGTGTCGGATGGTGTCGCGGAGGGCGCGACGTAGGAAGTTGACTGTTGAGAGAAACGTCCTTCGCGTTGGTGCGCCCTCATGGTGATTCATGTGTTTATACTTGACTTGCAATAGATTGGGAGTCTCTCACGTTGGTGGTATGCGGATGCCACTTGACAGGCGCAGAAAAAGTCCTTGCGCCGCTTGTCTCATCAGTGCTGAATGATGAACCTTTGTCTTGTGCCTGACAATTAGCTAGTTGCCCATGACACATAGAACAGACGTGAGTGAGCCAAGCAAATGATTTAAGGTCAGTTGGTTATCCCAGAAATTGTTTTCGCCAATTAGTTGCTTGTGTTGATCCCTTTTCACTTGCTCCCCCGATCAAATGATATCGACAGTTTCCCACTCCGCAAGCAGTCCGTGGTAGCCTTCAGCATATTTCTCCTTGAGAAAGCGGAGGATATCGGCGGGAAAAGAGACTATGACAGCTGACTGCAGGTTTCGAATCTGCTTCTGCCGCGAGACAACATCCTTTTAAAGAGCTCCTAGCCTTAGCTTCGAAGGACACACCTGTTATTTGCTGTTTTGCAACGCTTGTTGGAGCTAGCCTTGAAGTCTAGCAGTTCAGGTGGTTTCAGCCAATGTTTAACGGTCATGACGTTTTGCCTCTGACAGAAATGTGGGAAATGAGGCAGCAACAGTACATCTATGCAGATGCAGTTTGCTGTGGATCCAAATGGTCCATAGCTCATTCTGCAGCAAGATCTCAGAAGGATGAAGGACATGCAATGCAAGAAACAAACATGATAAAGCACGTGTGACGTTAAGTTTATGTCATTCTCGTTGCGACGTGTTTGTGACCCTGGAGCCGATTCCAATCGATTCCATCCTCAGGCTGGGTGTTTGCGACGGAGTCTCAGGAGTTCAAAAAATTGGCGATGGCCTTGGTGTTTGTTTCACGATCCGACTCTTTGAGACTCTTTTTGCGCTACTAGGTTGGAGGCCATGGCTACTAGGTTGGAGGCCATGGCTAC